CTGGGTGATAGTTTTACCATTACTCTCCAAGCATGGCACATGAGATAGTAATACCAGTTACAATTTTCCCAGAGCAGTGTCAACTTACTGGCAGCATACCACACTGCCGGCATACAGATGGATGTACTTCCTTCTTTTTGTGAAATCCACATCAGTGTAATGAATGAGATGATGGCAAAGTGGAGAAGAAAAAAACTGATAAGAATTTAGATATGGAATGCAGCATTGGCAAAGCACTGCACTCCCTGTTACTGAACAAATACTTTGGTATTTGCAAGTACCAGTAATTTGGACGTGTAAACCTCTCATTATCATCTCAGTCATCTTGGCTTTAAGAGCAGAATTTCCTGCATTTTTTTAAATTATTTTTTTTTTTTAAATCTTCCAACTTAAGTGGCCATTTTTCTTTTCTTCTTCCTCAAAGGTCATTTGCAAAGCTCATGGTTGTTTTTGTCCCCTCTATACTTGGTTTGTTGATATCAAAAACAAAAAGCACTATCACCCAGATAAAAATCACTAAATGAAGTGAGTTTGCTGAACTTAATAAAATTATATACATCAATGTGTGCATCTGTAATTCTAACTTTTAGTAGGCTCATGCATTATTATTTTATATTTGAGTGGTAGCTATTACACCACATATTATTAAACACAAGAGAAAACAAGTTCTTAGAATGACTTATGTGTTTTTTTTAAACAGGCATTTATCTGAAACATGTATGAAAATCTTCACACACATACTTCCTTGTGTGTTTTAGATATATGGGAATAAATCTGTAGCAGCAGCTACACACTGACTATTATAACATTGCAGAAGTCAATGGAACTGCTACTACGAGTTTTGTCGCTATCGTGCACGTATAGGAAGATTAATAAATAAAGATAAGATTATGGCCAAAGGCCAGGTTTTTGAGCTATTTTCCAAGCCCATTAAAGTGTAGGATTCAAAACTCAGCTTCTGAATCCTCGGCTTCAAAACCCACTTAGCAGGCAGTAGTGCAGAAAAAAAGCCCAGCAAAATGGATGCAGACAGATGATTTTTATCATAGAATTGTCAGAAAAATCATCCTATATATGATATGTTAATCACTCTGGAATAGTAATCACTCAAAAAATTTAGACTCGATGCAGTGATGGCCAGAATTATAAATCCACTGAAGGTTCAACTTCTGCCTAAAAGATTGCTACTGAGAAAATGGAGGATATCATGTGCAGTTCCATTCTACCATTTTCAGTAATCATTTGCTATATGCAGGTGCCTTTCGGTGTCTAGTCTACTCCTGTCACAAGCAGAGCTCTTTGAGCAAAGGAAGGCTTTGTTTCATCTTTGCTTTGATTTCTGAATCAGAGACCTCATACTGCTAAGATCTGCACGTAACTTTGGAACAGACTTTTGTGAGGTTGAAACATAGCTCCCTTTATCTCCATAAGTGCCTTCTCATTCACTGCAACACTAGGGACAGTCTTACAAACTAATCATGATTTTCCTATGACCAATGCCAAAACCAGCATTAATCCTACCACACAGTACTGAATAAAACACGATTTTCTTTTTTAATAAGTTAACATGAAGGTTTATTTTGTACAGATTCATGTTGCCAGGATATTTACGAGTCCATTATCAAAAGATCTGTATATCTCCAGACGGGAATTGTCTGAATATACTTTAAGAGAGGTCAGATGACTGAGGTGGTGAACAATTTTTAAATCGCTTCTTTCGTTCCACTGCAGTTTTCAAAGCCCGAAGAATCAAATGTTTGTTATTCAGGATGTTGTAGTTGCAGAGGTTCAACAGCTTGTTGAAATTCCCTTCAGTATATGTAAGCTGTCCAGTGCCATAGGGAGCAAAAATATTGGACACATCTACTCTTCCCTGCTCCATGTCTGTGGGACTGCGCTCCACATCTGCAATAAGCATATAGCAAAGTTCAGCACAGCAAGGCTACTGCAATGCAAAACTCCTAGCAGGCAATGTAAAATACAGAGTGACAGACACGGGAAACTGGATTCTTTCAGGAAAATGGATAAAGATATAATTGCCATAAGTATACTGCCTCTGCTGCAGTAATAAAATCCAGTACTTTGCTGATAGGTCTCAATACAGCATATCCACAACTAATTGGAAGAACCACTGTGTCATGCAAAATACCTTGCTTTTAAGATTACAGTTTTCCATGAGAATATTTCACTTTCGTAAATACATAATTTTGTCTTTTTAGCTTTTCCATTGGGTACACAGAGATGACAGCTCCTTATCTACTATCTGATGGAAAATGACACCTGAGTACCCTTGGAAGGGGAATTCTTCCTAAGTCAGCTGAGATATATTGCACTCTAAGCAGATGCAACAGAATGAAGGGTGAAGTTAATGAGGTTTCTCCAATCAGTCAGTTCATTAATTTTGTTCATTATTTTGAGGAAAGTTTACTCTTTTACCAAATTGAAAGCAATAAAATTAGAGATGATGCACACAAAAGTATTGCCAAACCGAAAGTGAATTTGACAAGTGATTTTTCTAATGAAGCAGATAAATCACTATCTATTCTACTCCTGAACAATATAAAATAACCTGGCAGCTTTTCAGAACTGATAGATATCAGATTAGCTTGCTACTCTGGAAAATCCTTCACTTCATTGTTTTCCATCCTTTCTATTCTCAATTTTTTTTCATTTAAACCAAATGATTAGAGGATTTTTATCATGTTAACTGTGCACACCATTAGTATCTCGTTATCATCATATTGTTAAGAGAGAATGTCAGCTATAAGTGGATATAACTTTATTAGCTGCCTCCTGTTCTTGGACTATCAAAGGAAAGCAGACAGTGGATAGCAAAAAATGAGTTTTGCCTCAAAGTGTGATTGTTAATGCTACTAATTCTGAAGCTCATCTGTTCAGTCTGATTATTTAACCAAAATTATATCCATCACAGTAGGACTTTAAATATGGTGACTGAGCCAAGTGAGAACATTCCAGCCTCTTGTTTTAGAAAAGTGATGATTTGGATTAAAAAATTATATTTAAAAAAAAAAAAAAAAAAAAAAGAACCACATCATATCCAAGACCGAGATCAATTATTGATTAATGCTTAAACTTACTTGGTGCCTTGTATCTTCGGAAGGTATCACACACAAGTGGGAAATATACCAAGACTGGTGCCTCTAAGCTGTCCTCAAACACATAGCACTCCTTCAGGTGCTCCCGATCCTCGCGGCTCAGCTCTGTGCAGGGGAATGGGATCCCTTGCTCTAAACAGTACTCTGAGAATAGGTCCAATGGCTGAATCGACAACAAGAAAATTAAAATTTATCAAAATATTGTTTTCTAGGAAGGAAAAAAAAAAAAAAGAAAAAAAAAAAAAGATGTGAAATTCATCTGCTGGAGTCATACAGATAAAAAATCACTGTTTCAAAACATCACCAGAGTCTGTGATCCTCCGCTGTAATTTAAATGCAAAATGACATCCACTTTCCTCTCTGGCCTCAAAAACGGTGGGCAGCTGGTATTGATGAAGAAGGCTGTATCTACCAGCTTAAGGTAGTCATCCATTGCATTCAGTTGGTTGGGAGAAGAATCAAGCACTGTATCTGAAAGTCAAAAACTTACACTAGCAATTAATTATGGAAGGAGAAAGGCCATTTCTTTCTAAATCAGCATAACAAAGAAAGGACAGAGACCACACTTATCTTAGGCTTTGACATTTTAGCCTCTATGGATCAGGCTTGAGAATCAGTGAGAGGGAGAAGTTTTGAGACTCAACTTCATTCAAAAAGCTATACTAAACTGTTCTTTCAACTGGTGTAAATGCGTGGCTACTTAACTCGGCTTCAGTGATAGTTACTAGTGATTCTTTCCTAGGAATCGAAGCAAGTCCTGGTGTAGCTTTTCCAAGGCAGAAATGAGACTAGAGTTAAATAACCTGGGGCTCAGCAAACTACTTCCACCAAGAGCTTCCCACTGTGCAGTTACTTAACTGGTTATAATAGTATTTGTCAGAATCTGCTTTTATGCTATATTTTAACAAGTATTTGTCAGTTATCAGCGCTCAAATTACCTTCAAAAATGCATCTAAAACCAGGTGCCTTTACCTTTCCACATGCAGAAGCTTTCATTCTCTAAATATTTGTTATGTAGCTGCAAGCCCTTGATGAAATTATGATAGTATGAAACCGCTGGACGTCCTGTCATCATTTCTCGAAGACCATTGGAAAGGTAACCCTTGGGAAGGGATAAGCGAGTTGTCTGCTCATGAGGTCGAGTGGGCAGAGCAGGGTGCTCCTCTGCAGAGGCAATGGGAAGATGGTCTATGTCTGCGTCAGTCTTTATAATACCAGTAATTACAAAGAAGGAATCTGATTTTTTGATTGTCTAAGATCAAGAGTTAATCTGAGTACTTTAACAAATGGCAATGAAAAGTAACAATTAACTCTCTGAGCTCAGTGAGCCCCCAAAGCAGAATAACCTCATAATCATCAGTAATGAATCACAGAAGAGGATTATTTCAGCAACACGCAACCATGATTTAAATAAATTGATAGAAGAATCAGTGCCCAGCAGTCTGTCAGAGTTCAGTGAGCATGCAGAAAAAGGTAAGCTCAACCTGAGGAGACGGTCTGCTGGAACATGGAGAAGTTCCTCTCAAGGGTGCACCCACATAACAGCACGCAGCAGCCCCAGTCAAGGTGCTGGACACCACCACTACGCCCTGCACAGTGGGCACACACGTCTTTCTGCAGGGTCTTCTGGGCCAGAGATGGGTTTCAGTGCCATAATATCAATTTGATCTTTGCCAGGCTTCTCTCTCCCCCAAAGGTCTTGTGGTAGCCCTCTCACAACTAACAGAACTTGCCAGGGATGCTGAACAGTGAGCAGACCAATATTTTCCCCTGTTTTACAGCACAGCATTTTCTTTCCTGCTTTCCTTCTCTCACAAAGTCTTGGTGTTCCCTAAGAAATAGGCCATAAACCTTAACCCATTCAAAATATCAATCTTGACGTTTCAGAGAGATGTGAAGACAATGCAGATGCAAGTAAAAAGTAATCCAGATAACTAACCAATGTCATCCTCAGTGCCTCTGGTCCATCTGTGCCAGAAGTCCTCTGAATGACCCGAGAGGTAGACAATATCCATAAAACTCTGGGAAAATATATTACTCCACGTGCCTTGAAAGTGTACAGAAAAATAGAGAGTCATAATTAATATTATTTTGAACGTTTACAGCAAAGTTGTGGAGATCTACGTGGATTCAAATTTTGTGACAGCTTAGATGAGCTCTGTTTCACTTACAAAATATTATGAATTGAAATATAGCTACAAAATGTCATACCATTCCAGATAATGACTGGATTATTAAACTACTTTCAAAACTCACGTTACTTTTAAAACCACAATCTGACTTTTATATACTTCAGATGATCCGTTCTGTTTTGCTCCATTGCGTTCTGGTTTGTTCTAACCTAATAATACAAGAGCAAATTAATTGTATTCAATCTTAGAAGTTTGCTTCTTCTTTTGCTACTTTTGTCTGGTTTGCTTGAAGCTTAAATACATGATCTGCTACTAGCATTGCTCCAGTTGCAGACCAATAATTATTAAATGCTTATTATTCCCTTCAGACAATTATATTTTTGTAAAGTTAACATTTTTTCCAAGATGGTAAATCACCTTCCAAGAAGCAGATCCGGGATTCTGGGATCTTCTTCATCAGGTGGCCCATGAAAAACTCACTACCAAAGTCCTCTGAGCGAACAAAGGCCCCATATTTCAGGGCACCCACCTCATAAGGCGTGAACTCCACCCACTCTGCAAAGGAAGAAATAATTTAAAAGACTTATTAGCTTGGACTTGCAGTAAAAGCTTTTGGCACTTATCTGGACTTAAAAATAAGCTCCTTAGATATATAAAAAATGCATGTAATAAACATTACCTTTAAAATCCAGAGTGCTAAATTTATCCCTGACATTGAGAGACAGGTAAATGGGCAGCGGATTCTGCCCCTGATTCACTGCCAGTTGCTGATCAGACAGTTTATGAGTATTTTCCTGTTTATTAAGAACAGAAATAATTGAAAAAGATGAACATGATGTACTTCCATAGTTTCGAAATATGGACTATCAATAAAACATCTATTAAATATCAGCAGATTTTGCTCCATACACTTCTGTTGTTTGACTACCTGAATGCATTCATGTTGATCTGTCTGGCACTCTCCAAAACCTTGCCAAAGTGTTACCACTGATGCTTCTGAGGTTTCGTTTTGAAATGGGGGTTGGAGGGGAAATAAGGGAAATTTCTTTCTATATTCACTAGCTTGTGGCTTGATTTAAGGAAACATAAAGCTATTTAGCTTGGAGATGCTTAGGATAAAAGTCAACTAAGAGCCATTGAATACTGCTTTATTGTTTGCTGGTATGACTATTGCTGAATTTTGTTCTGTCGGAGTCACCTGTCCTCTACGTGTTACTAGAATGGTTATTTGATCTGAAGTTAAAGGATGCAAATCAGTTTCATGATCACCTTGACTTTTTTACATGCCAGACATTTCCCCCACATGCTTATATTTTAGGCTAATCATGTTTTTCTTCTAAAAATCAAAAGAAAGTGACCTCAGTTTTTGAGATCCTTTCCTCTTCAGGCATAACTGATTCCAAAATTTTAGATATGAAAAATTAGAAATCCTCTGGAAAAAAGGGATGGATATATAATACCTCACTGTGTAGCATAGAGTCAATGAAGAGTCCCCATAAATCTGTGAAAGAGAGCTTGTGCCCCTCTAGTTTTCTTTCACACAACTCCTTCTCGTAGTATTTCAGATGATCTGTGGAGAAACAGTGCAATTTGCTCTTGATCACATATTTCCGGATATCATCAATTGGCCCTCTGAGATTCTTCTGTGACCAATTTGCGTCTTCATATAATTTTGCCATGGTCCTGGTAAAAAGAATACTGAGATTCAGCACTGGTATCTGAAAGTTCACAGACTCAGGTTACACACGTGTTTCTAGTTATCACTTGCTAACATGAACAACAAAGAGAAGCCCAATTCTCCTTACCATGTTGTGGCAGATAAACCACTGATGTATGAGATGCAGTCCAAAACACCTAACTCCTGTAGAGCTAGAAGACTGCCAAACATTGACGTCATGGACCGGACTCCCCCTGCTGTGGTCATGACTGCCACCACTGGCACCTGCTTAGCACACAAAGGCATGGGGTCATTCATTAATGGATGAAATAGAGAAGTGATCTACTCACTAGAGAGTGTTCTACTCACTATTTAAGTCTGTGAGCACTTAAGACTGTGTTGACAAATATTCTCCCACACACAGCATCGAGAGAAGGGTGTTCTGGGAGCACCAAAAATTTTTGGATACAGGTGTTCTCTGGTTTATACACTTTAGTCTAAAAGATGTGAAGGAGCTATATAGATAGATGTGCAAGTGTATCACATTCTCTTCATTCAAAGGAGGCAGAAAAATTCAAGTTCACAAGCCGTTGTCCCACACACCTCATCCTCCTGCAAATCTTCATCGAGCTGAAGAACATTTTTTAGAGCAGCAGCAACCACTTTCTTCCTTTTACAGATGAAATCTTTTTCCTCTGCACATAACTCAAACCCCAAACGCAAATCTAAATTCTTGCTACTAGAGAACAAGATGAGAACAAACAAGACATATTAAATGTAATCGTAAATGTATTAAATGTCTAGAGCTACTGCTTGAGATGCCAGGCAAAAATCAGCACCAAAAAGACACCAGTTAAAAGAAAAACCATTTCCATGCACGTGATGACCACCATATGCAAACAAATGAAGGATATCACAGGCCATATATTTCTGCCTTACTACAGAGATTTCATGCAATCACAAGGAAACTAAATGAATCAAATTCCATGCTGACAAAACGGAAGGAACATATCTGAACTTAAACTTAAGCTGTTTCACACTGAGCTCTCAAATCTGGACATTTCTTTTCCTACGTACATGTTTCCTGAATAGCTGGGCAGGCCCAGCAGTTGCCAAAACTCAACGCACTTCAGGAAAAACGCAACTCTAATTAATCTGACTCTAATACCACTTTAGGCTCTTCTCTGCTGATAATACGAGTTGTAAACCTTTTTTTAGGAAGAGGTCTTTTAAATGTTTCCCTTTATATCTGTAAATAATTATGAACATCATGTGAATCATTAATTCCATAACATTTATTTTCACAAGTCAACTCTTTCAGGTTTGGGGCTGCTTGATGTTGGGTTTTGTTATTTTGCTTGGCTTTTTTTGTTGTTGTTGTTGTTTTCTTCCCAAAGAGGTTATTTTGTCCCTTCTGTGACTTTGAATTAATATTCAGTAAAAGCTCCAATTTATCTTCTCAGTCTGCTTGCAGTGTAGCAAACTCATCAGGAGGGGGTAATGTTGCCCTTAGAAAAACCTCTGTGAGTCAGTCTGTAAATTACTTGCTGTCGCCTTGTTTCAATGCAGCTCTGGTAAATGCGTGTTATATATAAATGTGTTTGTATTATAAAGATTACAAAACAGGGTCATTCTTAAGCATCAATATTAGCAAGGGAAAAGATCAGGAAAAATGTTGCTATTTGTTATATTCCATGACTGTGCACCATTTATTCTATCCTGGGCTCTTACCAATCAAATCAAAAAACATACATGATTAACCCTTCCCTATATTTCAGTCTTTTTTAGTTGATTACAATTTTTATTTCTTGTTTTGAAATAATGAGCTAGTTTAAACTGTTGCTTCCCTTCATCTAAAGAACATACTATGAAAAGATTGTCCTAAGTAATCATTCAGAAGAAGTAAGTTTTACCCATCTTCTTCCTTCACAGACACTTCATAAGATGCATCCTGAGAATGAAGAACGACAACAGCACACGTTTTAAACAACTGAACATCTGCAATGGCAATTTTTTTTTTTTTTTTTTTTACAGAAGTAACAGTTATTCAGATATATCATCTAGTAATAAATCATTAATCTGTTTATCAGGCCTTCTGCACACAAACATTGATAGATCCTGCTTTTAATATATACCTGAAGCAGTGTTAGTTTTTCCTTGAATACCAGTTATACTTTCAAGTGTATGCAGAGCAATGCATGTATATACTCAGCTAGTACTTTTTCAATAACAAAATTAATAATTGACCCAGAATCATGTAGGCACAGCTTACCCTTTGTTGAAATAATCCCAAATACTGTCAGAGGTTACTCACTCTCACTACTGTCCTTTTCTTTCCCAGGTCCAGAGAATTCAGAGGCACAGATAGAGGACCATTTATATCTTTTTCCCTCCTGTTTGCATCATGCTGAATTAAAATAGAAGAAAAAAAATGCTATAAAGGGAAAATTATTTACAAGCCATAGGTATAAATCTACCAGAAAAGGGTTAATTCCACATGCTTCTCCTAAAGTTACTTTAGCTGTTGTTACTGTCTGTAAACAAAAACATACACCACAGTATAAACATTCCTTTGGCAACATCACATCCAGGTTGGGTTGGCTGTACTTGATATAGTGGAACATGGTAGAATCACTGCCTCTCTGGCTGCAGGAAGGACCCATGGAAATGTTCCGTGTTTCTTCATAGGATCCCTTCATTATGAAGGTGAAATTTCTCCCTGTGAACAAGGAGTACAGAGTAATGATAACTACATCTGTCCCTAAGAAAATAACAAATAAAAGCAACTTGAGTAACATTCCAGCCCTGTTGTAGTCAGCTTTCCTTCACACAACACTCCCTCTCAACACCCAGTTAGCATAAACAAGGGCCAAACTGAATAAACGCCAGAAGGCCAATGTAGTATTGGAGCTTCTCCCTGCTATGCTGGAGACAGCTCATGTTAGACCAATTGATGCCACTGGTAGTCTTCACATCTTCTGAGTTCCCACCACCACAGTCTTTTCACTCCCATTGGTCGTGTCTCCCTTTTCTTTCTGTCCTCATCACAGGTTTTTCTGTACCATCATATTACAGACATGTTTCTCAGTTTTTCTCAGCCACCTCCAGTTTCCCTGAAGCTATGCAGTCATGCAATCTGCAGAGGATTCTCACCACTAACAAGTGGATAATTCAGGATAAACCTCAATCCCCTACCAGCACAGATGCAAATAGAGGAGACTGAAAGCCATCAAGTATGCTCTACATTTGTCTGCATCTTTCATGGCACAAAAAGCATTAACAGACCATTTAAATCAATAGCCTCTCTTGTGTAAGGACTCCTCATCTTTGTGTCATCCACTTGTACTTCCACACAGGAAACTTCTCGAGACTGGAAGAGACGAGCAATAAAATCACTGGTCACAGAAACAGCCTAGGATCCTCACTAAGGATCTGTGGGTCCCATGGCTACACCATCCTTGGCCATGTTGTCCTGTGAATAAGCAGGTGGTTTGTATATACCATGGAAGCAATTCTATGGTGAATAAAGCTGAAGATCTGTTCCATAAAACACATTAAATATCATTAAATCTCCAACAAATAACACAAGGAATTTTTCAACCATCTAGATTGTGCTTTAATTTTCCCCTACAAAAGAACGAGGAGCAGGATGCCTATGAGCTCTGCAGAACAATTGGTCAAATGGGCTTGTACTTTACAACCTCTAGGTTGAAGCTGCAACTTCCCAAGGGTGCTGCACAGGACAAAGTAGCAGCATAAAGACATCAGACAGTACTTTGGAAATGGTGTGAGAAGAGCCTCCAGCTCCAAGATTGGCATCCAGTAACAAATTTTGCAGAGGCACTGGATTCACTGACTTCTCCTTATGTTTATTGCTATTTCATCAGTGAGCATCTCACTGATTGAGTGATCTCTCTCTCTCCCAACATAGAATGCACTACAAACATTACCAAATTCAAAGTTCCACAGTCTTACTTCTGTCTTATTTGAAAGACAATAAATGCTATGCCTAAAGGCATGGTTCTTCCAACCACAACCTTCAGTTCTGCTCTACTTAAGAATAAAAGAAAAATAAAATGCTTACCACTAGCACACCATTAGTTACTATTTTTTCAGATACACCTGGACTGAAAAGAAAAAGGATAGGGTTTATTTGACAGTAGGTACGTTGTGATAATCTTTCAGATGCAAACATTTTTAATGCTTAATTTTTAATGACTCTGAGCACAGTTCTAGATGCCAAGTGCCACCAGCTGCTGTATCACAGTCTGTCTATCTTTCTTACCTCTCCAGTCAGCATCATCTCTCCTAAAACTGTTACAAAATTAACACCCATCCTCAGCTGTTAATAGTTACCGTGACTGTCACTACAGGAGCAATTCCACCCGATTCAGGACAGAAAGGGAACCACTGGGAAGAGGACAAGATGGGATGTCATAGCATAGGTGCAGGGAACCACTTCCCAAATACTGCGTTATCACTCTGAGACATCAAGTATTCCAATAACAACTTTTGTAACATTCAGACTTTACTCACATGTTATCCAGTAGAAATTCCACTTCCAGTTCTTCCTGATTCTGAAAACAAGTTATTTTTCTTTTAAGGAAAATGAACAAAATAAGCTTTTTAAAAAATTTTATTTTGATGGAGCTACAGTGCTTTTGCATAATCCTCTCCCACAAAATTTGCTATTCTCACCACTTTTGTGTCATAAAATAAGTAGGTGGAGCCTTCTTTTGCCACTCTTTTGTTTCATGTCTCTCTACCATTCTAGTGCTTGCAAACTAGCTGTCTTTCCAAGCAGAAGAATGAAATAAGTGTCATGAAGTAGAGGGTAATGGCCCTGCTGTTCATTATTAGTGGTATGAGACACAAGTCAGTTAGTACAGAGAAAAGGAGGGATAACAAGTGAATGATGATAATAAATCGAAGTAAGTGGTGATCATATCTACATTAACACAGAAGAATTTGCAGAGCATGATTAAAAGTGAGAAGTCTGGCATAGAGCATTAAAATTGCTAGCATAGGAAGACTGAGGCTGTGAAGTGGGGTGAGAGAGAGAGTTCACAAAAGGCCGAATCAAGTAGAAACAGGGGAAAGAATGTGAGGGCAGGGAACAGTAAGAGAAGAAAAGTATTGCATCAACATACGAGAGGGGCTGAGTAACAATACTCCTTAACTGAGGCAATTTCCTGGATCAGTCACCCACATATATGGAGGGGCAGCCAATCCAAGAAATGTTGCCCAAGAAACACATATCAGATATCTTCAGCATCACTTTCAGGGAGGAAAATACCAATTAGTGGAAGACATAAATCTCTTTCCGACAATATCCGTGTGGTAAAATTTCACATTCACATTCAGAAGAGCTAAATTTTACTACCAAACATCCTCTCTGCTTGGCTGCACAGCCTATTTTAATTTTGTGAAGAGACTGAAAACCATGACAACTCTAGCAATGCAACTGCCAAAGTAAAACCACCTCTATAGTGAAGGCAAATGTGAGCATTTGTTTTTTTTAAATTTACAACTTCATTTCAGTAAGTGAGAAACATCAGGTGACTTGGATATGCTGCACATAAGTCAGCAGTATGTTGTTTTTACTTGTATCTCCCAAATCTTCCAACTTGTGAGAAACAGAATGGTTGCATCAGCATGCAACAGAAGGCTGAGAGATAGTTTTAGGAAGCAGTCTTGTTTTTCAAATAAAAGACAGATTTCATCAAGTGTTGGATTGTGACCAGACTGTGCAATTCAAGCTTGTGGATGGTCTTTTCCAACCTTGTCCAAAAACAGCAGAAACCACATTCAGGAGAACCTTTGTTACAACATATGGCTAATTGTGCCTGTCTTATGTTTCCATTCATTTTACAGTGCTGTAAGCATACACATAAATTGTATTTCTGCTAAATCTCAGTCACATTTTTGCGGGTGAGAAACCTGGAGCTCAGCAATGGAAAGACTTGTTGAACTGCACAGTGAGCAAGAGGTGCAAGCAGGAAGTAGCCCTTTGTTCTGACATTAGCCATCTGCCCTCAGCCCACTGCTTGAGATAGCTTTGGTAAATGAAATGAATCATAATGGACAGAGGTGGCAGTGCTACCTACTATTAAGGCCACACAGCACATTTCATTACTATGTCATTAAAAAAAAAAATCCTATCTGCTCTAAAAGGCCATGCTTAGACCACAGTCTGTGATGCTTCAAGGGTACCTGCATGGTTCAAATAAGTACAGCTTGGTCACAACATTCCTGAGACACAGCTCACTTGGCCCTATCTCCTTAACTGCCATTTGCTAAGCCATTGGGCTAAGCTACTACTGCACACACCTCAGAGCTAACTCACAGCTTAGAATCATAGAGTCAGCAAGTCTGGAAAAGACCTCCAAGATCTTCCAGTCCAACTGTCCACCTACCACCAGTATTTCCGCACTAAACCACGTTCCTTAGTACAACATTTTACTGAACACCTCCAGGGACAGTGACTCACCACCTCCCTGGGAAGCCCATTCCAGTTCCTGATCACCCTTTCAGAGAAGAAATTCTTCCTACCATTCAATGTGAACCTCCCCTGGAACAACTCGAGGCCATTCCCTTTAGTCCTATCACTAGCTATACGGGAGAGGAGGTTGACTCACTTCACCACAACCATCAAGCAGATTTGCAGAAATTTTTTTAATCAAGTGTTATCTTTTATCTCTGTTTTTTTTACCCCTGCAAAATACGCGCTATAACGGTTGCCTTCCTTTCTGATGCAAGACAGAAACAGTTTTCAAATATCAAAAAATTCAGCATGGAAAAGCCATTCTGCATTTAATTGTAAATGCAACACAGGAGCGACTGTTTCTGGCTTCTACTAAACCTCAAGCATTTAACTTTGTGCTTTAACATAGGCCTTTTAAAATAGTTTTTATGTGCTATCATTAAACATTCAATTAGATAACTGTAATATAGATACTATCTTAGAAGTAAATTCCGACAAATAATGTCATTTTAACTATCCACTTCATTTCATTCATCTTTTTATTTCTTACCTCTGGATTCAACTCAAAAATCAGGCGAACCTTCTCTCCAGGTTGGATTTTAGCTACATCAAAGCGAACAGTCAAAAGCTGATCATCAGGTGTGATGGTGTCCTCATCGCAGACTGTCAGCTCCAGCACATTCTGAGGGGAGCACCAGAGAATGATGTAAACAGACTGTTCTGGGATAAGAGACCTCAAAAGGAAGGCATGAGAGTCTCTTGCAACTGTCCAGTTTACACTTTTTCAAAGCACAGGAAGGGCACGATTCTATTATAAGTCTGTATGTTAGATGTAAAGTTTGATGTCTCACAGCCCATTAGGCTTTTGAAAATGCACTGGTTTAAAAATAAAAAATTAAAATTAAAAAAATGACCTCAGGGTTGCTAATAAGAAAATATTACCAAGACTTTGAAAAGCTTTTTAGACCTCTGATTCAATTGATGGTGACTGGTCTTTGAAAGACGATACAGCAATCAGGGCAGCAGAAAATTAATACTAAAATCTGCATGCTTGCTGACAGTTAGGAAACAGTAATTGCTATGTGTTGCAAATCTCCCTTGTTCTCTTTGAAGCTTTTGGCATCTCTCGTTCACCACCCTACTCCTCAGCATAGCCAAATTCAAGTCCCAACGAAAGGGAAAATTTTCTCATTTAATCTTTGTTTTGCATGTGCTGAGAGGGGAAAGCCACAATGTTTTGAACAGCTGTTTGCATTTCTCTGAGGTTAGCTGAAACCAAGAAGGATGGAGAAGGTCAAACTTCAGTACATTTATCTTACCTATTCAAGCCTACTAATAAATTCAAACCCATAATTCACTATTGTCCTTTGATCAGATCACTCCACCAGAAGCAAAAACTTTTTTTAGTCCTATTCTCTAAGGATAGCATGACATATGATAGCAAGTGCTGTTAGAATAGTTGCTGGCTATGTAGTCAGTATGTTCCACTTGATAGGATCCGTTTTGCTCTCATGCTTCACAAGTGGGCTCTGAGATCCATCTCCAGGTTACATTCTGTTTCCTGTTTTCCGCAGGAAGCATGGAAAAAGGACCCATTGGGTTGCACATGAGAAGGAGGAGGGGGTGCTGTAAGAATAAAAGCCAAAATTTGCTTTGGTGATGCGTAGCTGAGGACTGCACTGGGTGAGACTACAGGTTGCTTTCCTGTGCAGCCTCCTGTAAGGAACTTACTTCAGCAGAAAAAGGATGGACTAGATGATCCCCAGAAGTCTCTTCCAGCCCTTACAATTCTGTAGGAGGTAAGAGGCTGGACAGAGGCCAGACAGGCTGCATAATGAGAGTGGGGCTAAACAGAATTCACACGGGACAGAGATCAGAGGTCTGTGTAGGACAGCAAACAGGACAGGGCTGCAGACCCATGACCCTCCCCTGCCCAATACTCATAACCCCATGCTTGATGGTGAGATTGGACCACAGCCCATAAGCTGTTTATAGAGAAATGAATCATAGAATGGCCTGGGCTGAAAAGGACCTCAAAGATCATCTAGTTTCAACCCCCCTGTCACGGTCAGCATCACCAAATACCAGACCAGGCTGCCCAGAGCCACATTCAGCCTGGCCTTGAATGCCTCCAGGGATGGTGCATCCACAACATTTTTGGGCAACCCGTTCCAGTGCATCACCTCCCTCTGTGTGAAAAACTTCCTCCTATCTAACCTAAATCTCCTGTCTCAGTTTAAAACCTTTCCCCCTTGTCCTATCACTATCCACCCTTGTAAGCAGCCATTCCCCTCCTGTTTATATGCTCTACAATGAGGCCTCCCCAGAGCCTTCTCTTCTCTAAGCCAAACAAGCCCAGTTCGCTCAACCTTTCTTCGTAGGAGAAATGAAAACGCAAATAGATACAGAAGTGTTTTTGGGTAGGTGTTAGGTAGAAAAATAGTGCACATATAATGCTTTCAGCTACTCCATGGCTAAAATGAAAATAAATGTTTCCAGAGAGTAGGAATTTGGTGGCTGAGGTCTCTAACATCAGTACAACATTCTCCTATATATTCCTGCAGCACGCACCTGGTACCAGAGACACACAGCAGGTGAAAACATCCCTTGTAGAAAGTTTCAGCTCATGAGAATAGATACGGGGCTTACCTTCACTTCACTCTGTATCATGAAGTGAAAGGTTTCATTCCAGACAGGGTTCCTGCAGTTGGATACAGTTCTTGTCCGGACTTCCTGGTGTGAAGCTGTTGGCAGCCATAGCCTCACGTAGCAGTCAGTTTGGCTTACTGGGTTAACAGAAAGCTGTGTGACTATCACAGCAGTACTTCTTTTATTAATCTCTTTTGCCCAACCAAGTAGGAAAAAACCCAACCTCTGAGAATTTCTAAATACTTCACCAGACCCAAAAGTAAACATTCTGAGTTCATAGCTCTTTACGTAGATGTATGTTGATTCAAAAAAAACACATCTACTTCAATACTACTAATACTATATGGTAACAAACATCAAAATACAGTTTGAACAGAAGTATGCTGGCTCTTCTAAATTTTTTTACTTTTAAATAGTTGCCAAGTTCCAACGAAGTGCATGTTGTATTTCACCTCTTGAAATTTCACTTTTCAAGAAGTAAAGAATAAAATTCTGGGGTCTTTTTTACCCAGGAGCATTAAGCTGACTGGCAGCAATTCCAGCACTGAGATACAAACATGCCATCAGTGGTACTTACACAGGTCTGCTTTGCGGAGATTCCTCATACCTATAATTTTTACAGTAAGCCAACACAACTGAGGTATTCCTGGCTGCAAAATAAAAGAGAAAAAAAACAAAACATGTTAGCAAAGGACTCAGACGTAATTAACACAACTCTCCCTATAGCAAAGCAAAGGAGAAGGCATCTAGAAAATTAGTAATCATACACTGTTCTCATGTATTAATGCAGTGAATATGTTTTCATTGTAATTATTTCCACTCAGAAATTGGTTCTTGTGAATTGACACCATAACCTGTTAGATTGCAGTTTACGCACCAGTTGTACATAAGGGTAAGTTTCGAGTTGGGTGAGGGAGGTATTATTTTTTGTTTGGATTTGTTGTGTGGGGTTTTTGTTTGTGTGGCTTTTGTTGTTGTTTTAATATTAAAGGTTTTAAAGGTTAATTTTTAACATGGAGTAGTAAGAAAAAACAAAATTTTTTTCACTAAAAGCCATTACGTATTTATCCCTATTATAATCCATCTACCTCCAAATTATAGGGTTTGCTTCTCAGCTTTCAATGCAACAGAGCCCAATAGATTACAGCACAGCAGTTTCCAACCTGTCAGCCTGGGGGCCATGGGATTCTCTTCTTCCTCAGGCAGATATTGTGCCCATCAGCCACGTAACGTTACTGAGCAGCAGGACAGATCCACTCCCTTATAAAATATCCCACTCAAAATATCACTGCTATTGGCCAATCTGGCTGCACGATTCATAACACTTCAGTGTCTTTGGTTATACCAAATTACGTAACTCTAATAAATACATTAAAAATAAACGAAGAAGAGAAAGACTCCAGAAGTGGACATCCCAGCATGGGACTCCAGAGCTCTTCCAGGTACATTGGCAGAAGGAAGGCTGAAATCAGAGGCTTTGCATAAGCACTCTTTCATTTCACATTAAGGTCCAGCTCACTGCAACGTGCCTCTTGTGTTTCAGTGATATGATGATATGCTGTAAGGCAGAAGAGGCTGCAGGGTTTTTTGGCTCTTTGTGACACTAACAAAGATAACTCATCATCCACAGGTAGGGTCTGCATTGATTGAAATGAAACCACATTACCGGGCCATAAACTGATAAACTAAGAGCTGAAAGAAAAACAGAACTGAAGAAAGAGTAAGTGACAAAACTATAAACAATTTAAGACAGTGGAAGGCTGCAAATACAAACTGAATTATAGACTTGATATGATGGAAGTGGAAAAATAATGTAAAATGGACTGTGTGTCAGATTAGGCAATTAAACACAAAGGAGCAAGAGCAGAAGTTATAATTTCATATGAATATACAGAAGAAAGAAAAGTACAAATGTTATTTACAATGCCCTGGCTTACTTAGGACTTTCAGATAATAAATTAGTATACAAATACATTCATACTGAAAAACAATAGGCTGACTTGATTGATTGACCATGGAGAAGCACTGAGGTATAACAGTATACTGATATCCCATATCATAAGGCAGTACACAGCAGCATCTTTGAAGGCTGCGTGACCCAAACCTTTTTTGTTTTCTCCCTTCCACACCCTGATACAGCTGTGAACAACCCTGTACTTGGTTACAGGATAAACAAGATAATCCCGAAGAACATCGGAAGTAAAATATAGAAGCAGTAACTCCATTAATTAAATTGAAAGGAGTAATTAAATCATCTTAGTATCATGATTTCTAATAAATTGCCTCCCTAGAGTCTCCTTGTATACCTCTTACTTTGATATGTGAGTCTCTTGACAAGAGCAGATTTACCATCTAAAAAACTGTGTCACCATCCTAGATAGTACTTAGAGCCCAGTGGAAAATTCTCAACCCAGTGGTTTTCTCTCAGAACTGTGATTTGACCAAAACCTGCTGGTTTGGAAGAAACCCATCAACCTCAATATTGATTTTGACAGCAACATTTCTGAAGTGGAGATAGAAAAAGTGACAGGAGCTGGTGATCAGAATTTGAGAAAGCACAAATTGTCATCCTAAATACAAATGATTGATTTTTAATCCTTAGCTTTAGGATCATACAGAGCCCAAATTTTAGAGAAAGCTTAGAGACAGTTGGAGGACTAAGAAAATATTCAAACATAAAAGCCAGTGTTATTCCATAGTGCTGGCCAGTAATGAGTTCACTGCTTTCCTGGATTGTAAAATCATTTGAGTTGGAAGAGACCTTTAAAGGCTATCAAGCCCTACTCCCCTGCAATGCACAGGGACACCTACAGCTAGAGCATGGTGCTCAGAGCCTGATCAACTTGGTCTAATTGTAGATCTAGCAAGCAGATAGCTTCATAATTCAAAATACACTGACTACAGAAAGGGAGCAGATGCAGGAAACTCTAATAATAAAAATAATATATTATTTTTTTCCATTTAATATAATTTAAACCAGCCATTACACAGAAAAATAGAATAACTTGTTACATACCACATTCAAGTACATTCCAACAGCTTTTAATAATTCAATTTCATAAAAACTCAGGCTTCAAATTATTTTCAGAAGCAGATACTGAATAATACATTGCATCTGATGATCCATCTCCATGAAGCAAAGGAAAAATTATATGAAGGCATCTTTGGATTCTGCGAGGTATGATTAACATCATATACCGATGTAACCATAAAATCAAGACTAACATCTAGCTCTCCCAGTTCCTTGCCCTGCATCTAAACCACGGGTTCCTCATCTTCTTCACCTTCCCAACCCCCATGACACTGCAAATGTTCTCCACCTAAGGGAGCACAGTCACAGAAGAAACAAATTCCCTTAACCAACCGCTAAAACATAACACCTCTCATAACAACAGTCAAGCTCAAGGAGAGATGATGATAGATGCTGATGGAAGACTCTCTCTCAGTGTCAGCTGCTATTTGTACCCTCCAGCCCTTCCCTTGGAACCCAGATTTACTCCATACCTCATCTTCAGCTCTGCGTGGTCTTCCACGATTCCCCTTCCTGATCTCAATTTTCCTGCGTGGATTATTTGCTTGGATGAACTGATCCTGGGGATGAGGAAATGAGAAGGACCATGATGAAACCCACCAGCCAACAACCCCCAGATTTTAGTTTCTACTGAGATCCACCTGAGCAATAGCAGGAGGCCTTCTCTTCTCCTCGAGATGAGATAAAGTGCTACCTGCTCAGTGATATCTACTAGCTGCTTTAACTAATAATTCTGCCCACTACAAACATATTTGGCACTTAAGGACCAAAATTCACCAAGCACTTTGCTGTTCAGGCATCTGAACTATGATAGTCAAACACATCATCCCATCCCACTGCTGATTTCCTCTTACCAGAGGCGAGTAGGCTGAGGATCCCATTATACCTCTACTTCATAAAAAGCAGAGGTGTGGTGGTCCAGCTGACAGCTGGCTCCAGGTGCACACTATTCTCCAACCAGCGGAGTAGCAGGGAAGCAGAGCTGTATACACTGACTCAGAGCTCCACCCCCTGCTGATTTCAACAGCACAAATTATGCACTTATTCTTTGCCAAATTATTTCTTTTACTGCTGTAGTGTTTTAGGGGAAAGAAGGACACAGGTCAAACTAACCGGGCTAATCCCAAAATAAAACAGTTCTTCATCACTGTGAGTTTTGAATAAGCACATACTGGAGGATATGGTGGGGCACTCACCAACAGGAGAACACTTGAGAGAGCATTGCAACTATTCTCATCTAAGGAAGAGTTCTCCCCTCATTTATGTTGCATAAGAGATGTCATTGGGTAAACAGAACCAGGAGAAACTTCTGTTACTGAAATGTATTCCTTAGTGAATGCTCTGCTTTCAATTAAACTGTGTTAACAACACATTTAAGCTTTAACACAAATAACTACATATGACGTTTTTTCAAAATATTGAAATGTCTGTGTTTAAATTTTTTCTCTACTACAATAGCTTCGTATTATTTTAATAGCACACAATGCACAATAACAAATAAACGTGCCTAGCATTATCCATTAAACAAGCATTAAGTGTTCTTTGAATCACTAGATACTATTCAATGATAAAATTGCAGTTGAAATATTTCTAAATCTCAAATTTCTTCAGCCAGATAGAAGGCTGCCTTTTGAAGCAACAGGACTCACAGAATAATAAAAATCCTTTCATTAGAAATGGCTGAAAGTCAATCTGTCCTATCCCAACGGTACTACGGAGGAGAGCTGCCTTACATAAGGAATCCAAAAAACATCATTCTTATTCTTTTTCATAGATTGGCACTGCACACACAACTGTCTACCTCAGAGTATAGCTACGTTTATGCAAAGTGCGATGAGTTCTTAGCTACAGCTGAGTTTGGTTTTGTTTTTGTTTTTGTTTTTTTTTCTTTCTTTGGCTGCTGGACTATTTTTTAATATTATTTTGTGGGACAGTCCTGTTGCAACATATCTATTTCACTTAGGTTATGTGATCATACTTTTGAAGTAATGCTCAGTGATTTGAAGCAGAAGACTCAACTCATGCTGTTACTTGAGGTTGAACTCAACAGCCAATGCATCTCCTGGTTCAGGCTCTGAAGTCATTTTATGGCTCATTTTGGTGGCAATGTGTTCTCTCCAGCTCTTCTAGATCAAGTCACCCATTCCTCAGACTGCACTACTTGAGTCACCATGCTCAGTGCAGAGGGAATGCTGCATTTCATCTCCCAGGATTTTCAGCTCCGACACACATCTGAGATCAGAAATCGGCATCCATTTATCTGTAATACATAGAGTGCAGTGTGATCCTACACCAGAGATCTGAGGTCAAGTGCGCAAATAGGCACAGGGACTAACAGCCTCAGACTGATGGGAGTTATTGCGTTTTTATGACAGAAGAAGAAAAGATCCCAGATCATCTTCTGTGCATGTTCTTTTGTGATGCTCACTTTTATTACTTGATTACAGCTGCAGGATTTTGATATGCAACAGCAGGACTGAGATAAGTGCTGATGAAGTTTATAATTGCAGATGAATCACCATCATCACTGGAAAGAAACAAGCTAACATACACTCTGGTAGTGCCTAAGAGCTAAAGCACTCTTTGGAAATGCCCAGCTCTCTTCAGTGCCTACAATTATCATACTATATCACCATGATGCGTTAGTCACCAGCAGCCAGAAACTTGCTTTCCTCCCTCTTCCTACCCTGAAAAACATTTGTACAGAGTGGGATAAATGAGGTCATGAGCAGTAGCCATGAAGCATTTGAAAAGCCCACCCAACAATGAGCTACTCGAATATTTTACTTGGACACTTACCTGTGCATGGATCAAAGACTGGTTGGGATTTTCTGTCACCTGACCCTGTCAGCAAGATCATAAATCTTGCAGCAACACTCAGACAAGTCTGACACTTGAATTCCACGATAGATGTAAAGGAAGTGTTGTAGGTTTTTTAGTAGATGAAAAAGGGCTTGGGACTTTTAGGCTGCTATGGATAAATCCCAGAGAAAATTAAGTACAGTGCAAAGCCTAGCCTAGAATCTATGGATTTGCTGCTTTCCTCTAAGTAACAAAAAAATGCAGTAAAGCAAAACAGTGACATAGCTATAGTGAACTGTTGTGGGTTGATCTCAGCCACCAGCTAAGCACCTACACAGCCTCATACTCACTCTTCCTCCACCATCCAGTGGGACAGGAGAGTGAATGCGAAGAGCTAGAGTGAGAAAACCCAAGGACTGAAATAAGTTTATTAAGTGAAGGAAAAAGGAAAAGAAACTGGTAAGATAAAAGTAATCACTATTTCCTATAAGCAGACTGATGCCTCCCTGATCTCAGAGCAACAGCTACTGTGGTAGTTACCTCTCTGCCTTCTTCCTCTACCTAAGGTGTTATTGCTGATCATGACATCATGTGGCACGGATTACTCCTTTGAATGGCCTGGGCTAGCTGTGTCACCTCACAAATTCTTCTATCTCCCTAGCCAGGACCCTGGGAATGAGCAGAATGACTAAAAGAGAAAAAAAAACATGCACACACTGTTCAATAATAGCCAAAACATGTTATCAACACCATTTTAGTCACACATTTGAAACACAGCTTTCCTTCATCACAGCCCCTTTCCTTCACGCTAGCTCCTCTCCAGGCAGAGCCACTACATCAGCATAGATGTCTGCTTAAACTGAGAAGACAGTCACCAGCACAGTACTGAGTGTTGGTCTGTACTTACCTTCACTGCGTATGGGGCATTGAGATTTCAGCCCCCTAGATTCAAGAAGCCATGGATGGCCTCCTCTATCCTTTTACTCCACCCCAAAAAAATTCCTCAAAGAAAAATATAGGCTGATACATAAGAGCAGTTTGACTTTTACCACAGAGGAGTAAGTTCCATGAAAGAGCAGCTTAAGGAAGGAATTAGTGTTGGTGCATTCGTAACTTCCTAAGGAATTACATTAGCAAGCAGGATCTTGGCAGCAGTGTCAGGAGGGCTCAGGTGTAGACACGGGTGCTGCACACTCCAGTGACAGAGTGCCACCTAAAGGCTGATCGCAGGGAGAGAGCAACACCAGAACAGAGACAAAAGGCGTTCATGTGGGGCCTCAGAAATCCCACTGATTGAGCTATGCAACGTTCTTAGCAATTTTGTGGTGGCTGGTTGAAAAATAAAGAAAAACAGTAATAAATCCTACAGTTCCACCTCAAAGTTGATTGGTTAAGGTGTTTTAATGGTGGATTCCCCAGTATTTCAGAAGACTGGATGTATGCCACAGCATTTTCCCAGGGATCACTGTCAGGAAGGGGGAGAGCACTCATAAACATCAAATTTTCAGGGAATAATTTGTATTTAAAAAACCTTTTAGAACACCTGCCTTAGAGGCAGAACTAGAAGCTTAGTCACAGGATCATAGAATGGCCTGGGTAGAAAAGAATGTCAAAGACCATCTAGTTTCAACCCCCACCCATGGGCAGGGCTGCCAACCACTAGACCAGGCTGCCCAGAGCCACATCCAGCCTGGTCTTGAATGTCTCCTGGGACAAGGCATCCACAAGGCATCCACAACCTCTCTGGGCAATGTATTCCAGTGCATCAGAGGTGATCTTACCTTCATCTGGCATTGGTTCAACCAGAGAACGTTTCCTTCATTTTTTTAATCGCTGTTTGTTCCTGACATGATGCTCTAAAGCACTGACACATTTTTAAGTAGACTTCTGGTGCAATATTTTCCTTAAAGCATCATGTGCTTAGCAATGCAGATTTCAAAAACGCATCCACAGTGGAGACAAAGGCGTAATTCAAAGATATAGCATGCTTAAGCATGTTGTGTTTCACAATGAGTAATGAATGCAACTATTCAGATGTCATTTTCTAGAACACATCATTACAAAACATCGGCTAACTTCTGCAGACAAAGCATTCAAGAAGCACTTGTAAAATACAGTCTCACCCACTCTATTTCCCTGCCAAGCTTCCTTCATTTCCAGCTTCCCCGATTTGCTGGCAGGAACAAACTTCCCTGGTGAGTTGGGAAATTACCTTACTCCACCATCAGTGGATCTCCACTTAGCAGTGTCAATGTCTGTATGGTAGATGCTAAAGGAGAAAGATCCCCATTACATCAACTTCAAACATGCTTATATTAACCCTGACAATGACATAATGTCACAGTAGTACCACTTCTGCATTAGAATTTAGGTTTGATGCAGTAGAATCCCTTAAACAATGGAGATGGAAATAAATATACTGTGAAGATGCAGAACCTATCAGAGACTGGTAAACCCCACAGCAATAATATAGAAGTCTACTTCAATTTCAATTTCACACAGCAGGAAGTGTTTTCATTGGTCAGGCTTGGCAGGGTTAGTGACCATCATTAACTTTTTGCTGAGACCTTTTTTCCACTGGGGTTATGATTTTGTTTGTTTTAAAGTTGAAGGCTGAATGCAAAAGTTTAATTGCTTACTAATTATATTGCAGAACTAAAACAAAAAACAAAACAAAACAAAACAAAAAAAAAAGAGAGAACAGAGAACAGGATCTGAATTTTCATCCATAATGTTCTGAACAGCTTTCCTTCTCCTGGAAGTTATCACAACTAGTTAGTCAAGCTTTGCAGCTCTACATTTGCCCTCAAGGAAACCTTGACCTGGTATTTACATCAACACCCATGGATGAAACTTTATGAGGCAAGCACGTGGGCATTAATCATTGTCTCTCTGGAACTCTCATCATGATTTCCAGTGTGTAGGACACTATAAAACTCCTAGTAGACCTGAGCTGACTTACTTGAATGCCGTGATCAGCAACCCAGCAATCAGTTCACCAAGAAAACAGAAACAGACACACTGCAACAGCACTGCTGAGCTTAACTAAAATTATGGATACAAGTGCAACAGTCAAAAT